GTTTATAATAATAATAGTGGAAGCAAAAGTAGAATAAGTGACTTGAGAGCAAAAACGGGTGAAAATGATTATGTAATTTCTTGGTAAATTAATTATATTAATGCTTAAAAAATATTGTCAATAATAAAAAAACTTATTTTATTTGAATTAATATTTTGTAATTATTATAATTAATTTATATAAACTCATTTTTCATAAAATATATAGATAGTGCCTTTTTTAAACTGGACGGCAGGTCTGTCTTTGTGTCTATCTGTAGACACAATGGTCTATCGCCACGATAACTTTTGAAAAACTTATTGTATCAACTTGCAACTTTGCATGAACAAAGTTAGTGTTAAAATACAGATCGAGTTCGTTAGCCAGCCACTTTTGTTAAAAAATACAGTACTTTCAAAATTTTGAAAATTCAATTTTTTCAAATTTCAAATTTTTTAACTTTATATTACTTTAGATTAGGAAAATACAAACAACTTTCCTCTATAACATTTTTTCATACCAAGTCAAATTTCGTTTTTTTAAAAAAGTTTTTGGGTCAGTCCAGCTCATCTGTGTTAAGAAAATTTCATTGATTTTCTGAAATGTTAAAACTGTTATAAAAATTTGTAGTTCGCAACAACACAAAAAACACTTTTAACCGTTTTTTGAAATTGTTGTTATCTTTTTGCATCAACACCTTTAGGTTACTTAAAATACTTAAAATAAATTAAAATAAATAAATAATAAATAAATAATAAATAATAAATAAATAAATAATAAATAAATAATAAATAAATAAATAATAAATAAATAATAAATAAATAAATAATAAATAAATAATAAATAAATAAATAAATTTAAATAAATTAAATTAATCTTAAATAAATTTAAGATATTTAATGCACTTTTAGATATTAGAACAATAAATTACGTGTTTTATTATAGCTTAATTTAATATTATTCTTTTTAATTTTTTTTCATGTTTACCCTTTTCGGGTAGTTTTTTGTTTTAATAAATAAAAGTAATAAAGAAATAAATACTATTATTAGTTCATTAAGCTCTGTATATAAAGCACCTAAAAACTAAGGTTATTTTTCAATTTTGCAAATATTTAAGATTGGCAAAAAAGCATGAAGATATTGTATGATTTTATCAATTTCAGCAACAGTTTAATCAAATAATTGTTATTTACAAATCACGTACACAAAGAACTTGATACTAGTATTTTAAAAATATTGTAGCTTCTTCAGCAAATCATGTTTCTACGAAAGTTGGTAATTAAAAATAATTTCACATTTTTTATCAGCAAGACCAAAACTTTACATTTAAGTCCACTTAATCTTGAAATCATTAGCAAACAAAATATGTGATGAGAATGTAATCCTTAAAGTCGTAGTAACTTTAAGAGAAAAATTGTTTTCATGAAACGTATGATGGGAAACAGTAAAAAGAACGCTAATAATGGACAACGGCCGCGGACGACTGCGAGCTATTTGCGCGCGAAACGCGCATTAATCCTCGGAGCGCAAAGCGCGACGACCAACATTCGCGCGCCCCGAGGCGCACTGAAACTTGCGAGCGTTCTTGAATATTGAACTTTAAAATTCTATATCGACTTTTACTTAATTTGAAAAAAAAAATTTCAAAAATAGTAAAATCCAAATTGTGCGCTACGCGGAGAATCACCCCATTATTTAAAACGGATCCTTGAGCAGGCCATTTTATAATAAAAAAATATGTTTAATATATTTTTTGTCCTACCTGCACGGAAAGTATGTCATTTCGGGCACTTAAGGCGGGCGCAAAGTAACACATTACGCCCGGGAGTGGGGGAAGCGGGCGGAAAAGTATTTTCTCCAACACTTGCTCTGAAAGGAGTACTTTTCTTGGTAGAAAAGTGTGGCGAAAGTAGAACTTTTCTCAACTGCTCTGAAGAGCGTGGCGAAAGTAAATTCAGCTTGGCGAAATTAATTTTTAGCGTGGCGAAAGTAAATTTGGCGTGGCGAAAGTAAATCATGAATTTATTCTTTTTTCTTGTTCTTTGACCGAGATTTATTTTGTATCTAACTTCTTCCCCACTCAAAAAACATTCGTCTTTTATTATATTAAACATAAGCACACGTTAAATTAAAATTATACGAAACTCACGAAGAAACCTTTCCTTGCAAGGTGTTGGAGAAAACGTAGTGCACAACTCGTGGTGAAAGAATGATTTTTCGAGAGTGATTGCTGCTCTCGCTACGCTTGAGCCGCAAACTTCACTCTCGAAAAATCACACTTTCGCCACTAGTTGTACAATGTACTATTGCGCCCGCTTGTATGACGTCAGCGGGCGGTAAAGTATTTTTTCTAACACACGCACGGAAAATACATCATTTCTTACCTGTGTAGAGGGTGGAAAGTATATCTTTTCAGACGAGAGGGAGGGAATGTTACTTTATCTCCCTCTGACGTCATAGCGGGGAGAGAAAAGTGCTTTACCTCCCTGTCGTCCAAAATCACATGTAATATATTTTAATAACAATGTAAAGATAAAATGTATCTTTACTTACGACTAAATATATATGTTTTATTGAAAATTGTTAAATTGTTAAAATTATTAAATTGTTTTTTTTTGTTTAAAATTGTTTTAATTGTTGAATTGTTAAATTGTTGTTTTTGTTTGTTTTTTAATTTGTTTAAATTGTTGTTTATTGTTATGTTATTGTTAAAATTGTTAATTTTTAATAATTAATCATATTAAAAAATTATACTATTATTATAATAAACTTTCGGTTGAAAACATTATTGTCGTTAAAAATCTTTATGAAGTGGTTGTAGGGGAGAGTCTCCAGTTGTGAGACACCTCCAGTTGTGAGACAGTCAATTTTTTTTAACATGCAATATTAAAAAGACGATTGGTTTCTATAAAAACATTTCTTTTTATATGAGCTAACTTTTTCGTGTACGCCGAAGCGGATATATAAAGTGTTTTTGTTAAATACCAACACTGTGTGTGATAATATTAAAATAAAGTTAAAGTTAAAATAGTTAAAGCTATTAAATTGTGTTTATTTGATAGTCATATTTTGGCGAATAAATATTATTATTTAGTATATAATAATATATATTATTAATATATTTAATTATTTCTACTAAACATAACGTTTTATGTCAAACTTATTAAATTTTAGCAATTTTTAATGAGTGTCTCACAACTGGAGACATTTTTTTTTGACAAAAGCGATGTGCTCGGAAAATGTATCGTAAAATTTTTTGAGTTCATCGAAACACTATACTTTCTTTTAATAAAAGTTGCGTATTTCTGTTACCTTTCGAACGGTGTATTTTATTTACAATTTCGTTTACTCGTTTACAATTTACGGGTCAAAAATGAAACCCGTCTCACAACTGGAGACTCTCCCCTACTTTCCGTTTACGTGTATTAGAAAAAATAGTATGTGCACCACGAGATGAAAATGATTTTCACTCGTGTGTTTACAGTTCTCGTCTTCGCTCGCAGCACTCGCCTTCGGCTCGTGTGCTCGCTACGCCTCGAACTGCAAAATCCAAACTCGTGGAAATCTTCTATTTTCCTCCCTAGATGCACAATATACTATTCCGCCCGCTTCCCCTACCTCCGAGCGGGCGGAAAAGTATTTTGCGCCCGCTTGTTAATTATTAGATTTTCTTCATTAAAATGCGATATTTTCGACTTTCTTTTTATGTTGACTATAGAACTGCAAACATTTTCAACTTGTTTTATTTTGTCTATAAAAATTTGCAATTTTTTTTTATTTTCTCTAAAAAAATAATGAGACATTTGGTTTTGTTCCCATTTCGTTTATCAAAATTGTCAATTTTAAAAGTTCTTGTTTCAGTTTTGTTCAATTATTAATTACTACGTTCTAAATAAATACTACGTTTCCAGAATACATTGTTTTTTATATTTCTATTCTAAAACTTCTATCATTATAGACTTTATTCGATGTAATGTTTATATAGAGCTTAATTTTTAGCTAATATGAGCGTTTAATCGTGCGTGCCCTCAATGCCATACTTTCCATGCAGTTATGTAAGACAAAAAATTATTTTCGCATCATGGGCGCAAAGGTGACTTTTTTTTTAAAAAAAATAAAAATTAATCAAGCACAAATTTAAAAAAAATTAATTTGTTTATAAAAAACGTTTTTTTTTAATAAAAATTTTTAAAAATTATTTTTTTACATTACTTAAAAGTTGAAGAAAAACCAAAATTTTCTTCCTTTGACAACTTTTTTCTAAACTCAATACTTTCAAACTTATAAGCTACTGAAAATAGGTCTACTTTTAAATCCATCTAAATTTTTTATGCTTATGAATGATCCACCTTTTTCCTGACAATTTTAAGTATTTGAATCTATAATATACTTTGAAAAATTAAATAACAAATAATTAGTTAATATTTTTTTACAAAAAACTCGAAAATTTTTATTATTTTTTATTGGCAATTTTTTATACTATTTCTCTTTCCGAATGAAAATTTAAAATTGATATGATATTGTGGTATAAAGTATAGGTACATAATAAAGAAAATACATCCAACGCAAAGTTAATTTGCAGTATATTTCTTCTACTTATTCAAAATTATCATTAATATTCTCTACTCTTGACTTCACAATAGCCTTAATATTCGTTCCTCTATTCTCTTTCTTTTCTGCCAGTACCCTCGCAGATTTGAGGGGAAAAAGTTTTACAGCATGATAAGCTGGATGATAAATTGAACTCACTCTTCCTCTCTTTCTCGTGAGAGAATGAAGTGATCCTCTACGCCTCCGTCACTCCACAACTTATTATTTAATTCATGTTTTCTGTCGTGTTTTTAAATTTTTCGCAACACGGAAAAATCAAATTTTATTAGTTTTCAAACATTTAATTATTTATTCACAATTAATTCATTGTAAATTAATATTTAATTATATTATTTCTAAATTGTTGATTAATTAATATTATTAAACTATTATGATTTATTAAATGTATGATAATTTTTCTCATGTTCCAGCTGAAGGTTCAAGAAGCATTGAAGCAGAAGGAGAGATTTCATAAAGAGCACGAAGATGTAAGTTAATATTTTGCCTTATTTCATTTTACGAGAGTTAATGCAGAGAGGAAAACCCAAAAGTAAAAGAAGGGAGAAATTGCAAAAAGTTTGCATTCACGATTAGTGACACGAAGATGTCGTAATTCCTCGATAAAAATTTACGAATCACCCTAGAGAGTTATTGCTTTTGTGAGTCAGCACAGTTCGAGAGAACTTGAGACTCATAAATTTGTTGAAAAATGTTTAAAAATTCTCACTTTTTTCTGTTATAAAAATTGAAAAAGGTTTCCACAGTGAAAAAAACCATTTTTTAAAACAAACATTATTCAACGCTTCTATACTTCTATACAAAATATCAGCTCAATCAATTAAATATACTAATACAAAAAGAAGAATTTGTTTTTAACATGTTCATAGAAATTTCAAAAATAATTAGAACTTATTGATTGCTCTTTCTTTTAAAATCGAAAACAGTTAAAAAATTCATTCAATGAATTAACAAAAATTCCGGCGCAGACAATGGAAAGAAGTGAAAAAAGCAAAATGAAAAATCTTTCCTTCTCGATTCACCCAGGCGCGAAAGACCAATGCTGACGATAGATTAAAGGTTGATTGAGTCTTGAACGCTCAGTGTGGGTAACTCACAGTAGAAGCAGTCTTTACATCACTGTCAATCAATATTAGTTCAATATTGGTTCAACATTGGGCCCAATGCTCGTCCCATGCTCGATTCAAGACTCGGTCAATCTTTATGAGTGAAGCTCGAACATCTAATCTTGATTCAAGCTTGAATCAATCTTTACACAATATTCAGTTTATCTTTATTTATTACCGTGTTCACTTAATTAAATAATATTATAATAATTATAATTATAATAATTGTTTCAAATAATAATAATAATTAACATTAAGTTATTAATTGATAAATGAATATTTATATTTATTTAGTATAAATATATTATTATAATTGTAACATTCAAATTTAAAAAAAGTTAAATGGAAAATTTTTTTTATAAATGTTTTTAAAATTATTATAGATAATTAGTAAATAATAATTAAAATGTGCAATAAATATTCCTGACACTGCGTCATGTTTAATAATTTTATTAATTATGCTAATTTTTAATATTAATTTAATTAATTATTATTTATTTATTAATTAATTATTATAATTATTAATAATTATTATTATAATTAATAATAATTACAATATTTAACATTATAGTTCATTATTATTCCAAATTATATTTATTTAAATAATATATTATTAATATATCTAATAATAAATGTTAATAATTTTGTTACTGAATAATAAAAAATATCATTTATTTATCGATGTTTATTAAATTATCCATTAAATATTTTTAATTGTAAAATGTTTTAAAAGTTGAATTTTGTAATGATTACAATTTTATTATGAATTATTTAATATTCATTTTTAATAATTAAAATAATTCAGGATTAGTATGTGTAAAATTTTTAGTCATAGTTTTCACTTTGCCCTTATAAGTAACAAAGTATACGGCACTGGCATTAATATATTACATTAGTCCGAGGTCTCATCGAGACTCAGTGGCCGTGCGGTTTAAGTGGTTGCGTCAAGGACTTCCGGAATGCGTCTGGGGCGGGGGGACGTGAGTTCGATCCCACATGCGAGCGGATTTTTTCATTATAAGCGTTACATAAAATAATAAAATTACTATTTAATCTGTATAATTAATAAGTGTTGTGAATAAAAACTTGTGAACTTGTTTGTAAATAATATTAAAAGTCTGTTAAAAATGAAGTTAAAAAATGTACAAATTATCACAAATTGTCTTTTTTTGCTAAAATTATTTTTCAATATTATTATGTTAAATGACATTTATTGTTAGTAATATAATATTTATATGAAAATAATATAATTATTATAATAATAACTTATTGTCATTAAATATGTAAATACATATATATTAATAACAATACTGTTTATTATTAATAATAATAATTAATATATTCACGTTATATTGAATGAACGCGTGAGAAGCGTGTAAATTTGGGAACAGTGGAAGCAGTCTTGTTCAGTCCTGCTTTCGGCTTCCGCAGCATTGATTGAAGATTGAACGCCAGTCTTCAACAAAGACTGAGCGTCAGGTTTACATCGGTGTTACTATTCCGGACTCAAGCAGCCTTGCTTTCACTGTCCCACCAAGCTTTAACCAATACTGACCAACCCTCAATCAAGCTTCGTAAAGCCTGAACTCACTGTCAGCTCGCGCCTGGGCAGTAACAAGTGAATTTTATCATACACGGGGCAAAATTTCTCAAGTGTACCAATGTCAAAATTGCAAGTTGTTGTATCGGGCTAATATTTTCACAGTATTTAGTACTATGTATGAGTACTTCAACCACAAAGTATTATGAAATTTTATAACAAATTGTAGAGGGGGGAGGGGGTTGAAGATTTTGGATAAGTATGAACAGTGAGTTTTCTAAAAAATCGTAGCTTCTATATAATAAAGCAAAAAAAATTTTGACCTATATGTTTTTGGTAGGTTTTTTCACGCTCTTTCAAATGGTGAAAATTTTTTTTTTTAATTTTTAAAATTTAACCCTTTTTTTTGAAAATTAAAAATTTTTTTGGTTTTTTTTTCAAGAAGGTCCCTTTTTTTTTCTTTTTTTTTGTACCAAAAGAAAGCTTAAGATGTGTACTTTCAATAACTAAAACGAAAAAAATGATGTTTTTTTTTGTTTTCGAATTATTAATTAATTAATTATTAAAAATTAATAAAAATTGAAATATTTTGCAACAAAATAAAGTAAACGCAATTCTGAAGTTACTACTGTAAAGCACTACAAAATCCGCATCCAACGAGTCCAATATGAAATATTTTGGATAAATTGACGTTTTTTAAATAAATATTTATAAAAATTAATTAACAAATGAATATCATTTATAAAAATAAAGATAAAGTGTTAGTTTTTTTTTACACAAATGTTTATACAATTCTACTTTTAAAAAAATGTATTCCAGTTATTTGCAACAATTGTTTAAATAAAATATTCATCACCTTATGCGTGTGTTGCGCTGCATAACTATCTTCCCGGCTTAATATTATTTCACATTTTTTATAGAATATTTTTTTATTTTTTACATTTTTGATGTAAGAAAAGATTATTTCTTTTTTATATCAATAATTTTTTATTATTTTAATATTACTTATTATTATTAAATTATTTTGTAATTAATTTATTAGGAATTACGTAAAAATTTCTTGTTGATATTAAAATAATAAAAAATTATTAATGTAAAAAAGAAACCATCTTTTCTTACATTAAAAATGTAAAAAATAAAAAAATATTCTATAAAAAATGTGAAATAATATTAAGCCGGGAAGATAGTTATGCAGCGCAACACACGCATAAGGTGATGAATATTTTATTTAAACAATTGTTGCAAATAACTGGAATACATTTTTTTAAAAGTAGAATTGTATAAACATTTGTGTAAAAAAAAACTAACACTTTATCTTTATTTTCATAAATGATATTCATTTGTTAATTAATTTTTATAAATATTTATTTATAAAACGTCAATTTATCCAAAATATTTCATATTGGACTCGTTGGATGCGGATTTTGTAGTGCTTTACAGTAGTAACTTCAGAATTGCGTTAACTTTATTTTGTTGTAAAATATTTCAATTTTTATTAATTTTTATTAATTAATTAATTAATAATTCGAAAACAAAAAAAAACGTCATTTTTTTCGTTTTAGTTATTGAAAGTACACATCTTAAGCTTTCTTTTGGTACAAAAAAAAGAAAAAAAAAGGGTCCTTCTTGAAAAAAAAACCAAAAAAATTTTTAATTTTCAAAAAAAAGGGTTAAATTTTAAAATTTAAAAAAAAAAATTTTTTTTTAAAAATAAAAATTTTCACCATTTGAAAGAGCGTGAAAAAACCTACCAAAAACAGATAGGTCAAAATTTTTTTTTGCTTTATTATATAGAAGCTACGATTTTTTAGAAAACTCACTGTTCATACTTATCCAAAATCTTCAACCCCCTCCCCCCTCTACAATTTGTTATAAAATTTCATAATACTTGGTGGTTGAAGTACTCATACATAGTACTAAATACTGTGAAAATATTAGCCCGATACAACAACTTGCAATTTTGACATTGGTACACTTGAGAAATTTTGCCCCACATATAATTAAAGCAACAGTATCGTCTCAGTAAAAAAACAAACAAAGCTTGAAATGAGATTCTTTTGAAGGCGTGGTTATATGAGAGGAAATTTAAAATTGATAGTAAGATATTAAAAAGTAAAATTACTCGTATGTGCATTTGCACATTGCATATTTCAATTCTGAAACGAGAGAACCGGTTTCAATCTCTTTGGATTGTGAGCTAAGGGCTTGAAACACATAGTATATACATACATACATGTATATATATATATATGCTTCGACCTATGCTTCGATAACTGACAGTGCAAACACTTCATTAGCACATAATTCTACTGGTGTGTTTGCAATTAGCATTGTACTACACCTCGTCTACAAATCTTTCGTTTCACTAATAATTCTAACTTGAAGCATACACACTGTACATATTATCTTGATTTAGGTAGGTACTAAAAAAATTCCTCCCTCAAAACCGATTTTTCTGTAATTAAATTTTTCATCATTTTCTTTTATAGGGGAGAGTCTCCAGTTGTGAGACGGGTTTCATTTTTGACCCGTAAATTGTAAACGGGTAAACGAAATTTTAAATAAAATACACCGTTCGAAAGGTAACAGAAACCCGTGTAGAAAAATTTCGGGGCAGTCTGGAGTCCAGAGATTGCCTCAACTAGACGCATCTGGACGGTCTAATCTGGACGGTCTAACTGTGTGCTATATGGGATTTTTCTGGACGGTCTAATTTAGACTTTCTAACTGTATGCTATATGGGATTTTTCTGGACGGTCTAATTTAGACTGTCTAACTGTATGCTATATAGGACTTCATTGGCATCACTAGAATTCAAAATTTT